CTGTTCCATGAAGCATAGAATATGAAGACCATTTAAAATCTTTCTATGTTTCTACTCATTTAAGTTCTGAAGTAGTCCAAGTCAAATTGGACTTTTTTTTTGCTGATTGGGCTGGTTTTTAAGCAGAATTAGGCGTGTGACTATTAATTCTGACACTCTAATGGTGTGTCAGTGTACTCCATTCGGCATGTCCTGTTGTTCTTCAGGCATATTTGTAACTACACCTAAAACAATAATCTGCTTCCTGATTCGAGGTCCATTGCACTTATTTGTTGGTTTGTTTCCGACTTAAAGTGTCCTTACAAACTTTACATAGTTTAAAAAGAAAGAGAGAACCTTTTTGATTTGCATACATGAATTATTATCAGATATTAGGATCACTGGGACTGTCTGGTTTTAACCAGTCGATAGTGTTTATAAACAGACAAAATCAGCAGCATGCAAGGGTCCAGGACTGAGTGTATGCATTGCTGATGTTCTGGGTTGAACCCTTGCAGATATATGCAAAGACCTTGTCCTGGCTGACATGCACAAGTGCATTTGTATCCTCACTCTCTTCAGCTCCTGTTCTTCAGCCACTTATAGATGGATCATAGATACCTTCACAGCTGAACACATCTATACTTCCTCACTGTGATAAGACACAACTTACCCTGTTGAGCTCTGGCCCTGTAATTTTGTAATCAGACATCAGAGTCTGATTGTCATAATTGTGTGCTTAATTTGCATTCAGAATTACCAAGATTATGCATGTCAATTAGGTATTTGAGTCCACAATTAGATATTGCACATTCTGGTAATTGCACATGGAAATTAGGAATACAGTTGCATGTGAATGTTTGTGCACAGAGTTGGACAGATATCCAGTTCGAACTCTAGGAAATTCAGATATTAATCTATGGGCTCCAACAGGACAGCAAAGAGAAGCTGAGATGAACCAATATTATTTCTTGTGCAGTTTATTACTAAAAAGAACTGTTTAAGATGAAAAGATGGAAAGATGCTTTTTGACTCATTAAAAGCAGAGGACTCCTGCTTTCTGGGATGTTTGTTTTCTGAAAATTACTCAAAGTGGAATTGTGGTGTTTGTTCTAAAATCACTTATTATTTTTCTTTAAATTGATGTTTCAATGGTTAATGTCCTGCCCTGACATTTTTTTCACTCCTAGTAGGGTTGAAATATACTTTTCTGGTTTTCAGTGCTTTTGTAAGGGATGAAATTATTCAACTGGCAGTTGGAGACATGTGTGGGCAAGTCGTAGAGAAATTTTGAGGAGTGTACTAATTGGAAACTGTTTTCTCATACACAAAGGATACAATGCTTTTAAAGATGCCTTTTCGAGTAATAAAGGGGGCACTGTAGCATGACTGGCAGGACATTGCTGCACTGACTGAACTTAGTCATACACACACTATACATAGTGAAATAGGAAAAAAGATTGTTTAGAGATTTAATTTTTTTTTCTTATAAATTTCCCTTAAAAAAACAGCATGAGAGAGAATAGTTGTGTCAATAGTATGCCCTTTGAAGTCAGAATAAGGTACCGCTCTTTAAGAGGGTAAAAAAGTAGTTTCTATGAAAGTACAACAATACATTTTGATTGTTTGATAATAATCAGCCTCAGCTAGAAGTAGAGTGAACAACCTGAAGAAGCTATTCTTTGTGCTGCCTGTAAAATGAAACATGATGTGTTTTTGCACGGATCCAATTAATGCCACACAGCCAGGGCATCTGCTATGATAAAAAGAGAAACAAAGAAATGTTAATTTGCATGTTGTTGTGTGATTTTTTTTTTTTTTTTCTCCAGTGGACATACAAAGGGCTGAAATTCTCAAAAAAGCAAAGACAAAATAGAGAATAGAGTTGGTTTAAAAAAAAAGATCAAAACCCCCATAAACCTCCTCCAGACAAAGACCAAACCGCACATGCGTTTTAGTTATTTTATCCTTTTACAGGATCTCCTTGTAGCATCTGTTCGTTCTGAAGCCTGGAGGCAGAAAATACTGATCTGTTAAAATTCATAGTGCATGAAATCGATTTTTAATGTTTTTACTATTTTGTATTAAAAAAAAAATCACTATTTTATTTCTTCGTATATCAACAGTGTATTTTTCAGAGCCTGTGTGTATCTCTCTCTCTGGCAAGAAAAAGTCCTTGTTTTCCTGACAGATCATGTGAACTGAATTATATACTAGATTATACTGTTTACTAGTAATTTTTGGTAATTTATTTGTGCTTTATGTTCATACTTGATAATGTATATGCATTGTAATAAACATTCCACAGTACTTGTACTTCATAAACTATTGTGTTTTTTAAATACCAGCATAATTCTTGTTTAATTATGAAGCAGTAATGTATTCCAAAGAGAAATACGATTTGTAATAGATATTTATTTAAACATATCTGATTTGTGAAAAGGTGAGATTAGAAATTTATTTTTGATACAAAAATTTATCTTTATTGATTTTCAGATCATTCCTCTGTTTAGAGTTGAATCCCTGTGTTAGTAGGGAAGCATCTGTGGTAACTGTAAACTAACCTTAGTTCCACGAGTCTGAGAGAGATGGGCTGTGAATACAGGGCTGCTTCAGCAGCTTGAAAACGTCTGGTTGACATATTACTTTGATATTAAGAATTGATTTTTGACATTGATGAAGCAATAGTAAACTGCATCCTTTCCATACTTTTTAACTGTTGACATCGCTTTCTGTTTAAAAATATTAGCTATATGTAAAACTGGTTTTGCTGAGATGTTTCCTGCAGAATTTTATAAACATGATATATTTTACTTTATGAAGAATTTCAATGAACAATTTTAAATTCATATGACCTGTACGTATTTCGTGAAAAACAGTTGTATTTTCTGAGTTTCTGAAAAGCTTTACTGACTGTGTAAGTCCTGTGCAGTAGTAAATCCTTTTGTACAAAGACTCATGACCATCAGTATCAGTCACTCTGAGTACTTAAGTCAGTAGTCTTTGAATCTGACTGTTGGTCAGTTATTGTGTTTTGAAATAGCTATGGAAAAGACACTGTTTTGTGCTGCTGACAGTTGAAGTAGCCTTTTCCTGGGAAACTGCCATCTTTGAGTTACCACTCTCAATTTCTAGGCCACGTTATTTGAAGTCAAGAATATACTGATGTGGCTTTTGATCAATTTGGACCTGAAATTCAGAGATACTTTGAAATAACAAGTTGGATACAGAATAACAAGACGTTGATGCATTTACTGAATATTTTGATATTTTGTATTAATTCTTATTTTTATTATTACATGTAAAAATATGAAAAGTACAATTCAAGGGACAGCAGTATTTTAATTCTACAAAGACAATTAGTTTGATTTGGTTTTCTTGCATATAATAATGCTTTAAGACCAATGGACTGATAAATAAAAATTTTCCTCTTACTAACCTATTGAGGTAACTTTTATCCAGTTGTGGAGACTGAAATAATGCTTCACAAAAGCATTGCATCCTCTGTTATTTCCCACCACATATGTCTTCATTTTCTTCTTACAAATTAATTGTTATATTTTAAAATGTATTTCAAATAGTAGTTACTAGTACTACTAGTATTTACTTAAGTTAGCTATGTTTAAGTTGGGGAAAAAACCCAAACATTTTGCAGTGTAGCTGTACGGACATTTATGCTGCCCCTGCTTCTTGAGACAAACAAGACTGTGCCCTTTGGCTGCTCAAAGTATTGAGCTGCAATGAACCACGTTTACTACATCACTATGAAGTAATTGTTTTGAAAAAGCAGCCCGTTTTTTGTGGCTTTGGAATTGCCTAGAGGCTAGGATGTAAATTTTCCTTCTCCAACTTACTGAAATTTAATGATGAAATACGAAGTTCTCTGCCTTCCAATATACTGCTGTAATATCTTTTTATTTTATGAAATTAAAAAAAAAATTCCATCATAGAAAATCATGGGAGTGAAGTACTTGTTTGTTGATGTTACGTATAGTAGTGTCCCTTTAGGATAACATGTTTCATGATACTGTATATAATGATATATTGCTCCTCCTTATAAACTTAAGAGAATTTGTTTCTCCTCTGAACATTTTATTCTTGGAAAGTAGCACTAATGTTGTTTTGAAAATGTGTACTCAGTACTTCATAGCTTACATTTTGTCTAAAAAATTACAGTTGAATTTATATATTATATAGTAGTCCTATATTTTTGTTGAGTGCAAAATTCATGAAATTTGACAAATTTCTGACATCTCCAGAGAAATAATGTGTGTTTAGAAAGAGGAAAACGTAGGATGAATTCTGACCTGTCAGCCTCTAAGAACTGTTTGTTATAAAATGTTATTCATGCTCATGGCCAGCAAGTATGGAAGTGCAAAATTGATGAGCGACTGAAAAAAAATTAAGTGTGGCTACGCACCATAGTACTGAAGATAATTGCATATAACTAGCAAGTGGTTACCTAGTCTTTCTTTTTGTGCAGAGTAGCTCTTTATCAATCTAAATAATGTACTGACACTGATAAACTGTATTTAAACTGCAATAGCCTAATGATTAGGGTTTACCATCTTTTAGGGAGGGATCGTAACAAAAAGAGTCTCAAAACTAAATTTCAGAAAGAATTATTTTTATTCAGTAGTAGATCCTGAAAACTTAGAAGCTGAATAGTTAGAAATAATGCAAAAATTACTATACGAAGTGAGAGGAAGATATGTGTATCCCTAAATCAAAATCCAAACAAAAAAAAAATCAACATAAAATTATATGATTGAATAACTAGCCAAAAACATACCTTTGAAACCTTCACATTATTATTGTTCTAACACATCCTCAGTTTAGTGTGACTTCAAGAGTCAAAAGGATTAACCAGGAATGACTTTGGTTTATGAATTAATGTTTATAAATTAATCATTTAAGCTTAAGAATTAGGTCTAAAGATGAGTTTAGAAATCCTTAATCATTGATATCAAGATGTATGTTGTAACAATATACTGACAAATAAAACCTTGTTCATGTTTCAGCATTTCAGGGAACACCTTGACAAACTATTTGCAAAAGGAATTGGAATGCTGGACATTGCTTTAAATGAAGCTTTCAACATGCTCAATGAAGTAAGTTAATGCTTTTCGGATTAATAAGGTTTACTTCAGTGTCTGTACTGGATGTTAAAAAATAATAGAGTAACAAGCAAATGTCACAGTTTAGATTGTTCTTTTTTTCTTTGGAAAGGCTACCATTTTAGGAATGACAAGAATTTGTATATTTATAAGCACTTTGAGGATACACAGTTATTAGAGTTTTGAAATTATTGTTCCATAGGTTTAACTTCTGGCATGACAATTAGTATCTCTTACACTTTTGAACTTACTTTTGTGATACTCTAAGATAGAGGGAGAAATCATAGAATCACAGAATCCCAGGTTGGAAGGGACCTCAAGGATCATCTGGTCCAACTCCTTAAAAGAGTACAGCTAACCATTTTCCACTTTGTCTACACTATGTGTCCTTTATGTGCCAGAAATCTAGTCTTGTGAGTTATAGGTTGGCTAAGGGTGTCTCATCAACACTTAAAAAAAAGTGGGGGTGGAGGAGTTAAAAAAAAAAAAAAAAAAAAAAAAAGCAACTTTGTTTTACACAAATAGACTATTAAGATTCTGGTTGGATTTTTTGATTTTAGAATGGTTCAGGGGTTACACTAATTAAACTCAGTTTAATTTTGTCTTACAATTACCTTTCAGTATTTGTCTAGGTTGTTGAGACTTGAAGATGGTTGATACTGGTGTCTTTGAAAAGCACATTTAAAAATCTGCTTCCAAATTCTTTCCAGTCATCAATTTATGCAGTGTTCATTATACAGGGTAAGAATATAGAAGTCCTTGGTACAGTAGTTAGGCATCTACTATGTCATGTGACAACTGCAATTATCTCTTTTGGTGACAAATGCAGTCTTTGCAGTGATTACTTTTAAAAAAAATCATAGCCAATTAAATAAAATTCTATGACATTTCAAAGACTGTTAATCACAACCAAATGCTGTAAATGTCAGGATGCATTGAAATTTTTGCTGCTAACTGATGAATCACTGAGTTAATTGTAGTTCATCATAAGGCCCTTGTCATTGTTATTATTATGGAAAACACTTTCATCACTCTTGCTATTCAATAAAATTAAGGTTCTAGACAAATACGAGAAGATATTACTCATCAAAGTGTTTGAATTTAATCTTATTCTTCAAAATATTCAAACAGATAACTACATAGAATAATGCAAATACATACAGAATGATGTTTTAAAATAAATATATGAAGGCATTCCCCCTGCTTTAATTTCCCTTTGAAGGGAAATTATATCTGTCTCTTTCAAAATACCTTGTCTATATGGAGAATGTATTCCTTGACAAAGTGAGTTCATCTTTATGAGAAAATATTGGAACTAAGATCATACTAATGAAGGAATCCCATGTTAATAATTCTGGGTCTGGTTAAGACTGGAAAAACTGCCATGACTGAAGAATTTTAAGGATAGGCTGCCTTGCAGGTGTCAGAGATAAGAGTTTTCACAGAGGCAGTGACCAGAATATAGCCAACCATGTAAACCCACACTAGTTTCCCTTTAAGTATCGTCTTTCTATTACTGTTTGCTGAGGTTCCTGTTTGATCAAAAGGAAAATGATCTGGAGGAGAACTGCAGATGATATAAATGACTGTTGAATGATACTTGTGCATGTAATTACTCAGATATGGAAATATGAAGGCAGAAGAAAAAAGGGGACAGATCACTGCTGGAACCCACCATCCATGCCCTTTCCTACTGCAGGCATGTCTACAAAGATTACATTTTTGGAAGTTAAGAACTTTATCTAGAAAAAAATTTTTTAGAGTTTTGGGAAGAACAGCAAATATGTAAGGGTGAGTAGACTGAAGAAAGCTTAAAACCAGAGCAGCTGCTAGCCCAAGTCAAACTAGAATACTCCAAATAAAACTTATTAAATCCAAAAGCAATCAGAGACCCTGCAAGGTAATTCACCTTTAAATTTAAATGTTACTTCTCAAATAGGACCAGCCTTTTTTGGGCACTATTCAGTGCAAGTAGGCTGGTGAGGTGGGACCAAAGTAATTATTACTTGGCTTTCTCAGTACCAGAAGAAAGGTGGTAAGATGAGGCTTTGTCTGACCTCAAAGTTGGTAAGGTACCTGAAAATTACATGGGAAGAGAACAAAAGGAGAGTGTTCATTCATTAACGTGTTCAAAAGTTAGTCCAATCTATAGAGCTGTGTGTAATGCCTCAGTTTATTGATCTTTTCACAGGTTATTTTTTGTGTGTGTGTATTTGTACAGAGTAATTAAAAATAACTTTCCATCGTCACATTTTTTTGCTAAAAGCTGGATATTTCACCTAAGTTCCTTGAATCTATAAAATAATTATACACAAACAAATAAGAACCTATTCTGCAATAAGAGCAAATGGAGACACAGGGATTCAATGTTAAGGCACTAACTCCAGAGTTAAGAGATCAAAGCTTATGTTATAGCTCAGTCCAATTTACTTGCTCATTGGCAGGGAGAAAATCTCGTTTGTGCAATGATGAAACTTTCTTTGCATACTCCAAAGGATATGTTGATTGCTGTCTAAGTACCTATGCTCAAGTACTGCTGTTCAGCATCTTGAATTACTTATATGTGTTCATTCAGAGTAATAGGAGAATCTGAGAATATATAAATATTAACTTGTTTCTCCCAGATAAACATTTTATGAAAAATAACATATGGAATGTAATCCTGACTGAATGTGAATGCCATATGAGTAGCCATATGTCTCTCTATAAGTGGTGTATCTTCTGTACTTTGCAGTAAAATTATTGATCATTCATTTCTTCTTTTTGTGTAGCTTGTTATTTTATGTCAAAGCAGACCCAATGTAAATGCATCAATACATATCATCTATCTAAAACAAGGGAATACACTTGTAATTTGTGAAAGTGCTATATTTATATATGTTTCTTATTTTTCAAGCTGATAAAATGGGGATGTATAATGAATCCTGATTCTGTTACACAATTGAAGTTACAATTCAGTAAGGTGATTTATCGGTGATAAAATGTTTCAAACTTGAAACTTTTTCACCTACTTCTAAGTGTGCTAGGGATTTGACAAGATCCATGTTTATCCAGCGCGATCCTATCTGTCTTCATCTAACAGGAATGTGCTGTAACTAAATGAATGTTTCCTTTCATAGTTCAATCACACAGGACAAGGAAGTATTTGCAGCCAAGCCATAATGCTGATTACTGATGGAGCTGTGGACACATACGATACAATATTTGCAAAACATAATTGGCCAGACAGAAAAGTAAGTGTGTTATCACCTTCATTTGATGGAAAACCCAAAGCTTCATATCCGATATAAAGTGTATGCCTACTGAAATGTCAGTAACAATCTTTCTAATGATCTAAAAATGATTTTGGATAACTGGATGTTTCATTAATGACGAAAACGATGCTTATGTGGTATCGCTCGAGGATAGAGATGGCCTTTTACTGTAGTAATGAATTTAGGATAATAAGATATTAAGGAAGGATTTTCCTCCAGTGTGGGTTTTTGACCATTACATAATGCTTCCCCTGTGAGACATAATTAAACATGAGAAACTTTTATCTTTTTTTCTCCCAAAATGCTCATTAATAATTCAGTGCTTTTTGAAGCTGAAGAGGGGTATGTACTGTGGACAGTGAATGGTTTACTATGACTGGAGAAGGAGCAGATGTAGTACTCAGTTTTTTCAATTTCTTTGGCAGAGCAAGGGGTAGAGTTGGCAATTGATGAGATTTTATTAGAAATGTATTTGGTTCGATTGATCTGTGTAACGAAATTTGCCCAGAATTAAATTCCCTTGTTGTGTAACACATGGATTTTATACGGTAGTGCAGAAATGCCTTGAATTTTCCTGATGACAAAGCTCTAGTAGGCCTCGTGTTTGGATGTGAAATAATTTCCTTCTACACTTTTTATCTTCTGCTAAAGCAAGTTTTGGGACTATTTTAGGAAGTTTTTGTAGTTCGAGATACCTGCCATGTTACATGCCTGTGGAAGCAACAAACTCACTCTTCAAAGTGCAATTTGAGCAAGTGAAAATGTTATGTCAATTACTGTCATTTTGGGTAGAAAAATGACATACAACTATTCTATTTTTTGTTGGTTAAGAATATTTTATTCAGAGAATGTAGAGTAATAACTAACTGCAATCTGAAGATCTATTTTCCTCTTCAGATACCTTGCTCACTCCTTTTATGTAACTTCATTCTCTAAAAGAAGGAAGTTCATACTTTCTGTGATTTTACCATGACATGGCAGGAAGTCTGTAACGTTTAAAAGAATACAAGGATGCATCGGTATATGCATGTCCTGCGGAGAGCTGTAATACTTTTTGTGTGAATTGATGCTAGCCTTTGTGTAGTGGAAGGGATGAAGCAGTTCAATATTTAATGCCTTAAGATGTAGAACTAGATATTATGAAATGAGTTTCATTGGATGTCAGCATTTGTCCATTTTGGTGTTTATTGTACTTCGTTGGGTTACATCTCAATTACCACTGGCAAAATATAATAGAAATATTTGTTTCTACTCTGTGACATGCAAGTACCACCTCCTTGAAATGCGGTGATCAAGTGTTTTCAAGTCAGAGGGGAATATGTGTCTCCCTACTTTTCTTCAGTGCTTTTCACTGAGATTGTTGTTGCTATTTACATGAAAATGTCTCCTGCCTTTTCGTATTCTGTATTTACATTTGAAGATGAGTGATTTTTCAGGGGTAAAGGTTTTAATGATTTTTCTGTTGATTAGATGTTTGGGAAGTTAGGGCTTTATGAAATATTTATGAAATATCTGTTGAAATTACTGAATAATTCTGGAAACAGTAACATACTTGAACTGTAGCTCATTTTTCAGATATTTAAATATTCAAAATGGAATCTGTTTTTATCAGACTGGTCATGTGTTGTATTTTTCTTCCTAAGTAATTGAGTATAACTCCTTAATATTATATGGTTTAAGTCTTCTATCAGCTGGCCATGCTCATAGGAATGCATGGTAGTAATATAGTCTCGATGTATCTTTTAATTCCTTCTTTGTATTCGCATTATTTCTGAATGTTTTCTGACAGAAACAAGACAACTATAACCTGATTGTGAAATCATCCTTTATAGCTGTTTCTTCAAATCACAAATGTTTATGAACAACAGACTTTTTTTTTGAGTAATTCTCACACGTTTGCATACGCTTCTGTTCTTGTAGAAATGGTCTGAGAAGTGCTAATTTTAGCTATAGGCTTCGATATTTACTGCTAATACTTTAGTCAATTACATCTTGTAATGGTTCAAGATTTCCATGATCAGATGATGAAAGAAGAATTTTCATAAAGCAAAATATAAATTTAAAGAAATTGAATTTAAACAAATTAAATAGAGGATATGAGGAATATGACAGAATCTAAATAATCTTTGGAATTTCATTCAACGTTTCTGGCACTTTCTTCCTCTCACTAATTTTATCTCCTTCCTAGTTTTGATATGATTGAGTGACTTCGTAGGCTAGCATTAGCTCTGTTTTGTGAAAACATAACTCATTTTCTTTCACTGGAAAGGAGGCTTAAAAGTTTGGTTTTGTTTTTTTAAAAAAAAAGTCTTCCTCTCTTATTTAGTGGAATACTATCTGATGTAAGTTGTTCAGTCCTCAAAAGTTCCATGAGAACGTTTTGCTTTATCTAGCAAACACCGATGTCTAAGGAGATTTACAGAATCTCTCAGAATGATGTGCCTCTGATGTCTTGTATTTTCTTATACTGTGAAGTTAGTTCCTCTCTTAAGAATGTGAAGAGAAGATGGGGAAACTCCCTCTCTCACATGAAATCAGTAAGGAAAGAGTTCTCTGAAGCAGTCAGGTAACTATTTTCACAAAACTGTGCGCTATATATTTTTCATGTGCAAATCAACAGCTATATCTGAGATTACAATACTTAGTGCAGCTGTTGCAATATGGAGGTTTCCCTTTGGGTATATTTCTGCCAAGGCCTAGCATGAAGAATCCTATCTTATTTTAGCAAGGACACAGTGTTTAGGGAGCAGCTTTTGCTTAATATGCAGTATTCTAGACAACTCTTATAAAATATCTAATGTATTATACAGTCTTCTAAATTGTATATTAGAAAGCACATAGAAAAAAGTCAAATCAATTTGTCCTCTTTTCAGCCTGAAGTATTTCAGTATGAAAAATGTAAAAGATTTCATGTGTATTCTTTAATGCATTAGAGCTTTCAACATTCTTTGTTGGTTTTGTTGCTCTAGAAGGGAAGAATTCTTGAAAATACAATATCCTACATATTTACAATGTCAGTGTGCCTAAAAATTATACATGCAGTGCACTTCAAGATCCCCTGCTTTTGCACTACACCATCTTCATTCTCTCCAAAGCCATTTTTTATATATTTGTAGATCATGCCTTTAAACTGTTTAGTAGGTTTTCTTCTCATGTGTGTTTCTTTTTTTTCTATTCATCTATACATTACCTTGTTATCTTTCTTATCGTTTATGTTTTTCTTGCCATTTTGGTACTGTGGTGGACAGTAATGGACAAAGTAATTGCTTTAATTGAGATAAGATCTTAAGTTTCTGTATTACCTCAATTACCCTGTCAGCAAAGTACCTACTTCAGTTATGTTTTATCTAATGTTAAATAATATTTAATGTGTCATCATTAGTTGCAGCAGAAACATCTTGTTCTCTTATAAAAAGGAACTAATTTTTCATATAACTGTGAAGGCTTTGCCAGTTTGTCAGTGACAATTTCTGAAAATGGAGAGTGAAATCATACTGTCACCATGTAAATAACAACTCATATTTTCTTCTTTTTTCTAAAACATCCGTATCTTTTTTTAAAAAAGATACTGTGTAAGCAGGGATAAAAGCACAGTATTACATATCATTGCAGATGTACTCTGCGTGATAACTGGTTAAAAAGGTACTTCTTTTTGATAATGTATTTAATAAAAATTATATTGAAATAATTTTGAAACAGAATAACGCAGCTCCAATTAAATCCCTAAAGTAGCTTAAATTAAGTAATTGAGTTATTTTGGAGGACATCAGCCTGATTTTGTGTATGAGCTTGGGAATTATGATCATTAAAAGACTATTTAAAATTATCTTCTGGTCTGTTTCCTTGAAAGAAAGGAACACTTTCATTTTACTATTTCTTTTTTGAGTCTCTATTTCCCTCACCAAAAAAACCCAACCCCCTATCTTTTCTTAATATCTTCTGCTACTTACAGTATAAATCTAGAAGATGCTGTTTTTACAACTATGATATAGTTGTATAGTTGCAGTGTTCCTTCTTTTTTTCTTTTTTCTTTTTTTTTTTTTAATTGTCCTATTTCAGGAGAAAGCCTTTAAGTCTCAAAATACCTTTTTGATGTCAGTTAGGACAGAGAGAGTCATGCCTTTACTGTGTATTATTGCTTCTACTATTATATCCAACTGCTCTATTAGACACCAAGCAAAATACTGCACTTCCATATTTCACTAGGTACCTTCTTCTAATGTAAAGGCGTGAAAAGATGTTGTTGGGGTCTGGGGGTAGCAGGCGAACCGACATGAGTACAGGAAAATATAGCCCTTCAGGTTTGCTCCCAGAAAGTTGGTAGTACTACTAATTGTCTGTTCTTAATTAACACAATCCCGCTTCCTCTCTGTTGGGAAATTCTAGGAAGTAACTCATGGAAAATTTCAGGGAGATTAACCTTGTAAATGTTGCTGAAGTGCTATAGCACATCTGAAAACTAATTTACAATGAAATCAGAGATGTGAGAGCTTCAAGCCCTGTCGTGCTCTCTGTTGAAAGCCATTTTATTCACTAATTGAAAATTAATAAACTTGAAACAGAAAGCAACTACTTAAATAATATTTAATGTATTTGGACATTTTAAATATAGCAAGACTGTTCTCAGTATGCTGTGATTTTTGCAAAGGATAATAATGTAGCAAATCTTTTTGCATAAATGCATGAGGAAACACTTTTAAACCCTAGTGACTCACCAGCAACTCCATGAAGTCTCATGATCCTTTTCCTCCTATGGCTTAAATGACCAAGTGTCTGCATGTTTTGCAGCATGGGTCTTATTCTCTCCTCCTTTTCCTCATTGTTTTTATGTGGCTATCCAGTTATATACTTCTATAAAGCCCATCTCCTCATTGTTTTGGAGAAGCTCAAAAGCATTTCTTCCACGACCATGATTCAGGGCAGAGTCTAAAATCCCATTGAAATCAAGGCGAAATAGGTACATAATTGAACTATATAAG